AGTCAAACGGTGTGTCTTCTGTAGATGAAAGCAAGAGAAGGCTGCTCAAGTAGCCAAAGAAATGAGGAAACATGGTATAGAAGTGCTTGAAATCTGTGAGAGCAGGTGAAACGGATATGGAGTAACCAAACTGTCATCTCGAGAGTCAGTAATCTACTCTAGTCACCCAGACGACAACCACGAGAACACTGTGGGAGTAGCTCTCATTACGTCACTGTCAGCAGTCAACGATTTTATGTAGTGGGAACCAATTTCATCCAGGATTATGGCAACAATTTTCAACTCATAAGGAAAGAAGGCTACAATTATCCAGTGCTATGCGCCTACAAACAACTCAGAACAAGAGAAGAAGGAAGACTTCTACACCAGTGTTACGTCAGTTTTCCCTGGTGCGTTAAAAAATTTAGACGTCACGCAAAGCTTTTCAAACAGCTGGCAGGGTTTTTCTATTGGAATATTTATTATTTTGAAGTGTGTAAAAGAAAATGGAGATGGATTGGGGACACAGTGAGTAGACCGTCAGGTGACATCGCACACCAGGCCATCGCTCGAGTGGAACTCGGATGAGAATCGACCAGTAGGGTGTCCGAGGGTGACATGGAAGAGATCGTGTGAGGAGGAGATCAGAGTCTATAGACAATCGTGGGGCCGGCTGGCGAGGACTGAAGAGAACTGGATAAAGTGGAGACGTGATTTTGAAGACTTCTCTTCCACCTGGAACTCAATGGAACAATAACATAATATTACAATAATGGTTAACCACAAAAAATAAATGGATTCGTATTTGGGTAAGAAGTCAACTAGGATTTAAAAAATACACCACAATATGTTTTAGCCAATCAAAGTACAAACTGGAGAATTAATAGTGGAGCTAGTTGGATAGTAAGCTGTTAATAGTTCAGTATTAACTTATTTTGCAACGGAAAAATGGTAGTGTAAATTTAAATCTAAGAAAGTATGGTGACGTTTTGATTTTTATTAGCCGACAACTTGCTTTACTTACTTTTTATATGTCGCCACCATGGGAGTCTTAGAGTTTTATTTCAAACAGGTAAACGCATTATGTTTTTCATAGTAATTAGTAGAAGCATTATACTCTTATGATAAAATTTCCCACCTGTAATCAATGTGGTTATAACCAGAGAAAAACAGGTTTTTTAATATCTCACTCGATAACAACATTGTTGGACTTAGTGTAAGATGAACAATTGAAGAAGACGCCCCTGTACTTTCTTTAAAGTTATCAGATGTTACATATTATACAGAGCAAAAGTATGTTTACATTTTTACAATCCCATATTTTATCTACTGATCTTTTGTAGTCCTCAGCGTTTATTGTAAAGAGATTTAGTATTAGCCTATTGAATGGAAAGCCTGATATAATACAGGCGCACAATATACACTTCCTTTGTTTAAAACAAATAACAGAATGCACTTTTTCTCATAAGTATTCTTCACTTAAACTTTTTTACTACTCTAAAGTGTCTAGTCAACTTATTTTTTACATGAATGGAGATCTGCTTATCGAGGAGTTTCATTTTGCCGTTCACTATCTTATTCATTCACGTGCTTACAGAAGGAAATATAATGTGAAAAAAATGTGTCTGCCCTATTCATATTTTAGTGTGTTATTGAAAATGCAGTTTACGATAAGTCTGAGAGTCCCAAATCGATTAGATATCGAATTAATTGGGCTGGCAAGGGAATGGGAATCTTTGAGTTTCAGACATTTAATTTTTACTTTTCCTTAGGAGAAGAAAATCTTTTTAATTTATTTCAGTCCAGTGATTTCAACCAAATCATTCGATGTTAACTTACTCCTAAATGTCTTTATGTATATTGTTGCATAATTTTCTTCCTGTTGCTGAGTAAACAACGTCTTGTTGTAAATCGTTTGACCGAAAAATTCTTAAATCTTCTTCTAAACTAGTTATAAATAGTTTATGGTGAAACGAAATGGAATAGCTTTCAGTTGGTGAACTGTTATGGATAAAATGAGTAGTGGTTAAAGGTGGAATAGAAATCTGGATTGTGGTAAGCTTGAAATCACTGGTCTTCGAATTACTAGTATGGAACTCGACCCATTGAGATAGGAGTCTACCAAGAACAACTACGACTATCTGTGTTAACTGATGTTGCGTGATGTTTTGGTAAAATTCCATCTCCATGCTTAGTTCCGCTTATTTCCTTAGACATAGCTTTAATTGTAATGTGTATAAGTAAACCGTGGTAAATACTCATATTTGTAGAAATCGTCACCATCTTTAGGTTGAGACAGTTTTTGCCTAAAATCAAATTTCCCACACCGAATAAACCTGTTTATTATTAAGAACATGGATTTTTGTAGGGATCTGAATTTCTTTGAAACAGCTGTCCCGTACCCCTTGGTTTTCAGTGATTCACGGATCACCGAATGCTGACCCAAGTGGCTGGATGGTCAAGGAGCAGGCCACATAACCTGAAGGTCCTAAGTCCGATCCCTGAAGGGAGACCAGTGGTGGAAGAGCATTACTGAAGAGCCTCATACTGGAATGGAACGGCCGTAGAGTGTTCCCTGGCTTTCAGTGATTTTCTAACTAATTTTGGTTCATAATAATAATAATTTGCTTTATTCCAAAAAAGTACTTGTGATACAGAATGGAATTCTCAGCATTTTTACTACAGTATTGCATCCAGTTAGTACATTATCAATAAATAGAATTCTACATAGATTAAGGAGATCTCAGCTCATTATGACAACAGCATATTAGCATGTCGGTAGCAAAGCCAAAGTTGAACAATGTTTGAAAGTGTTAGAAAAGTAGGTGCTATCATATTTACTGGCGTAAGCGGAAGAAAGAAACAAAGCAGAACACAACGGAAAAAAAGAGAGAGTATAGGAAAAGAAATAAATAAAAGGTTGTACCTATAAATGATATGAGTTGAAAAGACGAGGTTCACTTGTACTACTGACTATTTAATAAATTATAGGTGTCACGCCTAATGCTTCCTTTATCACACAGAACACGAGCTAAGTAGGGTATGGTTGAGTTTTTGTACTTGCTGGTGTGAGCATATAGTTTTCTATATAGGCTACTGGTTTTGCCTGATGAGATGCAAGGGGAGAGTTGCGAGTGAAGAGGGTGGTATGAGTTAAATAAAATGGATTTGGCCCATTTTTCACATGAGTCCATGTGCCTGTCGACCAGAATATTAACAAGCTGGTTAAGTGGCACGTTGCTTACACTGCTGACAACCTTTAACATCCTGTGTAATAAGGTATAGTCTTTCTTCAGTAACCCGGGAAAAACTAAGGGGGAACAATAGAGAATAATAGGCAGAATGCGAAAGTTAACGAATTGTAGGAGTAAGGGTTGGGTTACCAGAATGTTCATAATGTTAATAATGAAATCTTCATTGGAAATCGAAATACTTTTTTGATAATCGTACCACGGGTAGCATGATTCTAATCTTATTGGCTTATTTTTCTCTTCCCTTGTTATCCTTCTCACTCTTATATTCCTTACAGACATAATAGACATTTTAGTATTCATACAAATGGTTTGAAAAAAAAATTAGTGACCAAATTTTTTAAAATTAAAGTTTTTCCCACACAAGTTAATCTTTTCACTATTTTATTTAAACAAAAATGTTTAATGACTGATATTGGTTTACAATAACAATAATAATAACAACAACAACTATCCAGGAATGAATGTGCTAAATTTATCTTCTCTTACCTCGAGGTATTGACACCTTTTAAGCTATAATAAGCCACTATGATATGTTAAAAGAAGTCTATTGTTATTTATTTGGTATAAAAATTGACTGTATACCCAAGATATCTGTGTCCATTATATTACTGTGATTCATTTGCTTAGTCATCAACAGAATAAAAACCTAAATTTCTAAACTTCCACTATCTCTTGTGAAGTATTTATTATCACAGAACAATTCATTAAATAGTTAAGAATGCTTCAGATAAACTCCTAAAATGTCACTTATTCAAAAAGAAATTTAGATTCATACAAAAAGTTTTGAGAATCCTTGAAGCAGTTCATTTAAAAAAGAGATATGTCTGTTATTTTAATTGAATCAGTACTTTTACGAGTTGATCACGGATTGATATCAGTTAGAGAACCATTGAAAACCAGGGAGTACTGGACAGCTGCTGTTTCATCCTAGTTTGGGAATCATCGGCAGTACGCACTCACTGCTAGGGTTCTGACCCAGGACCTTCCGGTTACAAGGCAAGCTCACATACCATTCAGCCACTGGGACCCGATTCACTGATCAGCCCATTAATTGTAACTTCTACCAATTCGTGATTTAGCGCGACCCCAACCATTGTCGTTGGTGGGACATCCATCCACACACGTGACTTCTAATTGGACCTCACTGGTCACGACTTCTCACTAGAACTCCAGGAAGCTCCATCCTGTAGCAAGTCACTAGCGAGCATCAGATTAATTTTCTATAGTTTGGTTTGTAAGGGTTTGTTATGTTTTTATGAGTTGATCATGGATTGATATCAGTGAAACCCAGTGGCTGAATGGTATGTGAGCTTGCCTTGTAACCGGAAGGTCCTGGGTTCAAATCCCAGTGGGTGCGTACTGCCGATGATTCCCAAACTAGGATGAAACAGCAGCTGTCCAGTACTCCCTGGTTTTTAATGGTTCTCTAACTGATATCAATCCGTGATCAACTCGTAAAAGCATAACTAACCCTTACAAACCAAATTATAGAAAATGAATCAGTACTGGCTATCTTTCTAGTGAGTTTTATGCATTCATTTTCACTCTCAAAAAAATTCCTGGAGTGGTAGTGCTCTGAATGACCTCCAGACTAGTTTACAGAAGAAGAAGAAGACTCTACCAATAAAAGTGAATGAGTGATCGTCATCAGAACAGTTAATGTTTCAAAATATAATTTTAACGCAAGCTATATTACTCAATAAACTACTAGACGCTTTATCATCTATTCAAAATCAGTTGCACAAACTGATGGGAAATGAAACTCACATGACAATGTTCTTAGATTAACAGGTTCTGTGTAGGCACTAGCTCCGTGCTTAGCATTCATAGAGTTCACACTTACTGTATATTCAGTTCCAGGTTTCAAACCTGAAAAATAAAAAAGAGAGATATAATTAGAATGAGTCGTAACAAATACTCACAACCAATATATATATATATATATATATATTAACGTCTGCAAAAGAGCTTTTGCAGTGACATCATTTACCCGACTGAAGACTGTACAGAGACATTTTGTTATAAATACAGCCATGATTGAAGCAGACGACATAAGTGAATTAAAAATGAAACTTTAGGTTCTGCTAAGTTTGATAATGATGATTGATAATGGCAAATCATTTCACACACACACACACACAGAAAAAATAAATGTGAAAACTGCCTGCATAAAACGAAATGACAGAAAAAAAAGTAATAGTTATTTGACGTGGTTGTCTATAATAAGAGTTAAAGTATTTCTATGCTAGATGTTTTTTTTAAATATTTTTGATAAATAATGTCTGTTACATTGAGAAAGTGATTGCTCAAAGTCGAAGCAATAAAACAAGCTTTAATAGTATGTTGCTAGGATATTTGAATATGTTAGCATATATGTATCGAAATTTGAGTCTACTTGCAATCTTAAGTATCTGAATAGCTTAGCAGTATATCTTAGACCCTCAGCAGTTTTTAAACTTTAGAAAAATACGTCACGTTAGTAAAGTAGTCTTGAGAGAGAATTAGTCGGCTCTGGAAATACGTTGACGTCAAACAATTATCATTATATAATAAGCTTTTAAATGCCTCTTATCGTTCACTTCTCAACACCTACAGATTTCTACTGAGAGAAGTTCTACTACTGCTATTGCTACTAACATCTCATTATTACTGGTAGGAAACTGTTTTGAGAAATGCTGTTTCAGTGTGTGGGTATGTGTACTATGAGATGAATTTTTTCAGATGGTACTCAAGTGATTCAGTAACTATCCTTGAAGACTATCTCAAAGAATGCTAGTCTGATAAACCTTGGTTGGGAAAGAAACTGAAACCATTTTTAAACAGTTGGTTTAGGAAGCGTTTGGTTGTAATTTCGTTCTCTGATCAGGACGGATTAATTGTGAAGCTTTCATTGTCTTTTTAGACAAAGTTTTCAGCACTCACTTTAAGATAAATTCAAGGAAGTAAATCAAGAAATATGAACGATCATTGAAGACGAAAGCTTATTTTTTAATCTACAAAGTTTATATAAGTGAAGTTCACTATTACGGAAGAATCTATAGATAGCGGTTAGCTCTGATATCAGTTCTCATTGATATTTGACATTTGTTGCCGTTGTCCTTAAGCTTTTAGAATCCCTATTTAATCGCGTAGCTTCGATGAGAAGTTTTGCAATTTATATCTCTAAAGTATTATTAACCATAATAATTCATAATTTAGGTATGCATTTAATACTGACCATCTTCAGGTAACTTTTATTCACCTAAGTACATAAAAAATCTCATAACTGTAAATATATAGAAAATGTTCACCTTTGTAAATTAAATGAAGGTGTTACCAAATTAATAAGTTATCACAGTATCATAAGCATCGGTGGTTCAGCGGTAGAATGCTTGCCAACCACAGATGTGGTCCAGTTTTCCACTCTCAGTCAAGGCACTCTTAAATCCAACCTAGTCGCAGCCAGTCAGTAAGAGAGAGAAGATTAGGCGTGAGACTGGCAACTCCACCTCGTAAACAAAACACTACCGCTAATGGAAGTTCAGGACTCAAGCCTGAAGCTCTGCATTCCACTCAACACTCAAGGAATAAAAGAATATTATCACAATAGCCCATGAATTCTAAAGTCTACTATTTCGTGATTTTAGCGTTACCACCAGCAAGTGACACCAGCGAGGATCTATCCCTACGCATGATCTGGTCGACCCACTGGTGACGACTTCTCATTAGAACTCCAGGCTACTTTCTTCTGTAACCAGTTACTAGCAAGGGATTTAACTTGTTTTAAGTTTGTCCACGGGCTGATATCAGTTACAGAACCATTGAAAATCAGGGAATTTAGTGGCACCCACCAGATCGGGCGTGAGGACAAACAGTTGCGGTCGGTCGGTCGGTTTTCGACATAGAACTTTGCACATATGTGCGGCAGTTCAAGTCGCCACACTCCCTCTTTGTAGCACACAAAGCAAGAGAAGAAAGTAGAAGAAATGCATAATATAGACAGTAAACAGAGGTGTGAGACAAAGGAATAGTAATAACGAAGAACAAAACAGTTTCATTGGAAATCATAAGTCACAAGGAGTGGATGCATCTGCGCCACTGAGAACGATTTTGAGCCATGTCACCAATTGTTTCCAACCATTGGTTTTTACCGTCCCGAGGACCCCAACCAGGAAGTCTACACCTTCCTACGTGGCTTAGACTAACTGTTGTAGATTTCATTGACTGGTGCCATGTTTTGGTTTGACCGCCGCTAGCTCTTTTCCAGCCTGGCCCTATATCAGCTAACATTGCCCGTCGAGGAAGGCGATGACTAGGCATACGTAACACATGTCCTAACCATCTCAGTCGATGTAATTTCACAGTCTCGTCGATTGATTTCCCCGCCTTACCTAGCACTCGACGCCTAACCTCAATATTGCTCACCTTATTATACCACTTCACGCGGGAGATAGAACGCAGACACCTATGATCGAAGACAGCTAATCTTTTCATGTCTTCCACTCTCAATGGCCAGGTCTCACAGCCATAAAGGAGGACGGAGCGGACTGTTGAGCAGTACACACGCCCTTTGGTCGATAGTCGGATGTCACGTCTACGCCAGAGACGGCGTAAACTGGCATATGCGAACCTAGCCCTCTGTATTCGTGCTGAGATTTCGTCGGAGATCAACCCGTTGGGGCTGATGGTACTTCCCAAGTAAGTGAAGTGGTCAACGTGCTCTACCACTTCACTTCCTATTTCTAATCTAGGGGTCGGTGAAGTCCAATCCTGCAGCATCATCTTACATTTTACAGGGGCGAATCGCATGCCAAACATACGAAGATTGTTGCTCAAGGTGTTCAGTAGACTCTGCATTTTGTCAGCGTCCTCGCCTAGAAGGACTATATCGTCCGCATATTCTAAGTCGACGAGATTATTCCCTGGTAGCAAGTCAATCCCTGAGTCGCTGAAGTGTGTTAGGGTTAAGTCCATTAGTACATCTATGATGAAGTTGAATAGGAATGGGGATAATGGGCATCCTTGACGGACGCCACTCGTCGTCACCACTTCAGATGACAACTCGCCATAAGCCCTCACCTGGCTGCATGAGTACGAGTAGAGTGCCTTAATCAGTGCAATGTATTTTCTCGGCATTCCCTTTACAGCCAAGCATCGCCAGAGAACCTCTCGGTCGACAGAATCGAATGCCGCCTTTAGGTCAAGAAATATAGTGATTGTCGGACGCCGGTAGGAATGCCTATGTTCTAGAATCTGTCGAAGGGTGAAGATATGATCAATACACCCTCTACCTGGTCTAAAACCTGCCTGGTTTTCTCGTGTTTGTGTCTCCCGAGCACCACTTAGTCTACGCAGTATTACTGAGCCTAGGATTTTAGATACTATATTAGTCAAGCTAATCCCTCTGTGATTATCACAAGAAGACTTGTCTCCCTTCTTGTATATGAGGATGATCAGTGACTTACACCAACCCGATGGGACTTCCTCTGATTCTCAGACGCTGCCTAGAACCTCAGTTAACGCAGACAGTAAACTGTCTTCACCGTACTTAAATACCTCTGGAGTCAATCCATCAGGTCCCGCTGCTTTGCCTTGCTTCAGATTAGTGACAGCTTTAGTAACCTCAGTTAAGGACGGAGGACCTGTGTCTATATCCCATTCAGGGAGGTGTTGGATGTCCGGCAGGTTAAGTGTGGCTGTGGGCCAATTAAACTGCTCCCCATAGTGTTCTTTCCAGCGCTCTAGACGTCTATCCTGGGAGCTAATTATGGTGCCATTTTTCTCCGAGATTGTTTCGCTTATCATTTGCCTTTTGCCACCTGTTTCCCTGATAAGCCTGAATAGTTGTCTGGTGTTGCCAATCGCCGATGCTTTTTCCATCTCTTTCACTCAAATGACTTGATTGTACGTGTAGCCTACAGGTTTCGACCGACATATGAACTAGATGTTTTAGACAGCTTTTAGCAGTACGCTACGCTAGAAATAAAAGTTTCATTGATTTGTCATTTTTATGCTTGAATTACTATCAGTGTTTTGAAAAATGTTGACTTATGTCTGAATTGCTGTTTAACTCAAAACCACAGTAGACTTTGGGTTAAACTACTTAACAAAAGTGGAGAATTAAACCGCTTGATTTCCATGTAAGTGATTGACACATTAGAAAATGACTGACATTTTAGGGGACTAATCAAAGTTGCACGCTTACAACTTCTATGAAATTAATGTTAAACCTACAGTCTAATGGGAACACTTTCAACCATGTTTTACGACTGAGATTTGATGCAATAATTAGTTACGAGGACAGTCAATTCATATCTATTATATTTTTCATCTAAGTACTTGATATTAATGTTATCACAGAAAATACGTCCACAAAATCCTAGAACTTTATAGAAGACACATTTAGAGAGAGGTAATACTCTAAGAGGTTAAAATATTCGAATTATAGTATAACGAGCTACTATTGTTACTGTTTTGACTGACGTGTCACTCCACAAACTACACTTTTCATTACTGCTTCTTTGTAAAGCATCATTAAGATGATTTCAGGAAGATTGTCAATAGCTATGCCAACGAAAATCCATCCTGGCAGGGTAAGACCACACCGGAAGAAGCTACCTGAGTTTACCTTTTAATAATTATTTTTACTAATAATATCTATAATGTGAAGATGAATATTCAATTCATTTAAATAGGTAGAGATTAATAAGTTTGATTATGGAGTGATATCAGCTAGAGAACTACTAAAAAAGCAGGGATGTTCTAGTTTGGGACTCTTCAGCAGTACCCGCCCACTGAGGTTCGAACTCTGGACCTTTTAGTTATAAGGTAAACTGGTAGACCATTCAGCCACTAGGATCCGGTCCAGTGGCCCATGAATTCCAACTTTTACCAATTCATGGTTTTAGAGCTACCACCAGCCAATACCACCGGCGAATATTTGTCCTCACATCCGACCTGGTGGATTTCAGTGGTCATAACTTCTTACTAAAGCTCCAGGCTACTTAATCCTGTAGCCAGTCAGAAGCAAGCATCAGATTAACTTTCAAGATGAATGATTTTAGGCCAGTGAGATACTGTGTTTGCTTGAATTCGATAATAAGACCTACACACAAAATTTCGAAAAGGCTGCGTATACAAAGGGTGAAATGTTTTGAAAGAATACAAACATAAATAATGGAGGATGAGAAGTAATTTGAATAATTCTTTGATTTTAGCTTACCCGTAATGACGTATTCAACTCCATTTCTATTATCATTTGATGCAACATCAGCATATTTATACAAACTAACTGAGCCAATTTCACGCCAACGAATCTGTAATAGAAACAACAAAAACACTGTCTAGTAGTTGACTAATATAAACAATATCATTAATCAAAAGTAGTTTACTCGCCTAGTTAACCTACAGTCTCGTAGATTACTTTCTCGCTGCTTGTCAAACAAGTGAGCAGCAAAATATGCGGTATCATTATTACCAGTCAGATGGAAACTTTCCAACTTACATGTGACGGACGAATGACTAGAATATAAACAAACAATAATAATTGGCTTGATAGGATTGTTTTTAATACTTTGGCTTTTAGTTCTGTTTTCTTAAGTTAAAAATTTAAAAAAAGACTTCTTTGACGGTGTAGTGGGATTCACTGTTATGCAACTTGTCTGATAAACAACCAGCTACATTAATTTTCATAAGGAGGCAGATCTAAGGCGGATGACAATTTGAACTTTTTCATTCCTTCTTCAAGTTATTTTAATTTTATATTCAGTTTATTCAGAGTTTTGATATAAATGAAAACAGGGGGAAATTAAACTCAAGCTCCCATCCTCATTTACTAAATGGGATGACTGACAGAAATCTAATGAATTTTGCATTCTATAAAAATGAAAATTATCAGTGGAATGATCAGTCAAACGCAATCACAGGTAAATAAGAGAGTAGAATACAAATTCCACCTTTCACAAACTTTAAAATGAGACTTATCTTCGTTGTTTGACAAAAATGAAAAAAATTAAAGGCAGAGATAACTTTGGTTTTGTTGCATATCAGTGTAGGTTAATCAGGGGGGGGGGAAGAAACAGAAAACTTTAATTATTGCTGATATAACTATTATTAAAGGAGAAAACACACAGTGTATGTTCAATTTTATTTTCCGACATTGCAGTCAGAAACCTTTTTTATGATAGCAAATTATTTATCCATGTATGTGATTTTTTGTTTGAACTATGTGTCGACTGAAATGATCAGCATTATTTCGGGTATATGGGATCTTTGAGAGGATGCTTTACTATACTGCTGATGACATCTGTTGTATCAGTAATATTTGCCAACAAAAACTGTTAGCTTCGGGAAGATTTGGCTAGATAAACATTGGGAATCAAAGCTCCTTAGATGAATCTGTTTTCACTATTTAAGGACGTCTCAGATGCATTCAGCCACTTCTACACTAGGGATGAATCCCTCTCTAACCAATTATAATAATGATTATATGTCGTTTGGTCGCTACTTTAGAAGCTACAACTTCCTTCCAGTATCATAAGGAAGTGACTCACCTCACATCTAACTCTTTTCACATATTCTTGTTACAATTCTAGAAGTACATCCAGATATTAGCCACTAACGTGCATTTAACCAAAATATAGATGCATAGGAAAGCTTGTAATTCTAGTAGATATCTATTGGGAAAAATTGCTACTAAAACGAAATTTGGAAGCTACTGCAAACCAAACATTACGTAAGTGTTCACCGAACTCACCGAAAATACTCATCAAGACGTGAATATAAGAACAGAAACGTTCAGAGAAGAGCCTTTTTTGGCGAATTTATTCACATAGCAGTACAACCGCATTTATATATAATTATTCTGTGTCTGTACGTTAGGATTGTCAAGCAAAAATTAAAATTAGTTAGGGTTATTATTTGCGTCATCAAAATGTTTATAGAATATCATGAATAGTCAAGATTGTAACTAGGGTGGGGGTGAAGACTGGTCAGTATTGACAAGGGTTACGTGATATGAAATAGGATGTTAATGGAGACACGTGTCCAAAAAATAAATTATGTAATAGGTAGAAAGAGTAAATAAAGGGTTGGTTAGGAAGAAGATGTTAATAAGATGCCATACAAAAATTCAAAAAACAAAAAAAGGAAACAAAACATTATTAACAAAGTCGTAGAACTTGGAATTATACCCAAGGTTGAAGGAGGGGGTAGAGTAGTTTCTTTTGGGTGCATAAATCTAGGTTTTGTTTCCGAATCGCTTAGACCTCGGCAATGCAAACTATGCGGAAGCTCACCATTTTCAGGAGGCTTCTTCTAAACTTGTAGATTACTTTGAATGAATTCTCCTTGCATACTGATTGACTAGTGTTGAATGTATGTTCAGTTATAGCGCTCATTTTGAATCCACTGTTACCTTTTCGTAGCCAAGTAGGATAATGTTCTCTGACTCTTTTGGATAAAGCACACATCAAACGATCCATATATCTTGCTCCACATGAGCAAGTAAATTGGTAGATATACAGAGAAGTGGTCATATGTGATAGTTTATCTTTGGAGTTGTTGAAGAACAGTGGGCGGCTTGAGAATACCAGTCGTAATGTAGCAGAAGAGAATTTTCTTTTCAGGGTGTTAGATATTTTTCTCCTTAGGATGTTGGAAAGAAGGTAACCTTTGAACGCCACATTCATGTGTAGCATCTTCTATGGCACAGAGATGTGTTGTTCTTTGTTGATTTTCGGTTTTATGTGTTTATCTATAAAGCGTGATCGATAACCTTCTCAAGTAGTGTGTTCCTCAAAAGAGTGATCTCTTCTTCTACTGATTCGGGACTGCATATCCGACGAATTCTTGTCGAAAGAGATATTATCAGTTTCTGCTTGCGATTGATTGAATTGAATTTGGATTTTAATTTAACCACGACTTTAAATGCATTTTCTAAGTCAGATAGGGCAACAGATAAGCCGTTTGATAGATAAGTTTGTAAAAATCTACTCCCCGCAACTGTCACAAAATGGCGATAAAATCTGCTTCTGTTTCTTTTCACTTTCACAACAGATTATTACTAGTAAGAAACATAGCTAACTGATTACATGAACTCTATGTTTTTTGCTTGTTTTCATACACACTGTTTATTGCAGGCATCAAGCTAGACAAAAGTATTAATTGTTAATTATAGGCAAATCACTGAGCAAAACTCATACTTTTTGTGTGCATGAAGGTTCACAAGAAAAAGTACTAACCTGAAATGTTTGGGCTGAACCACCATCAAACCCTTGAGTCCAAGCAACTTGTAGAGTTGTAGATGTTGCATTTAACAGGCGAAGATTTAAAGGTACGTCGGGGGTTGATGTACCAGACAAATGAATTCCCAGCTGAGCTTCACCTTGCATATTAGCAGCCTAAAACAAAAATAATGACAATTACTTTGTTATCTATAAGGCTTGTAGAACATTAGCTAATTATTAACGGAATAAGTTAATGTCAGTTGAATAAGGTGAATAAAGGGAGAGTTTTGAGAATAATCTTCCCTCTTTTTATATTTGTTTCACTGATGCACCTCAATTTATTTCTAAGTAAGAATTCAAAAATCCAGTATTCTCAGTTTTGGTTATGTGCTGATTTTTTTGAGTGGATAAAACATAAGAGATTTAATCTGGTGTGATTTTGTAGGTACAGCATGAAGCTTTTCTGAAAAACTTTCATGGTTTCTAAAAATTTTTCATTTGAACGACAGTGAAGTTTTATTTAAGTGAATTAAGTGAAAATTCAGCTTATGCACTTTACTGTAGCAAGTACGAGTGTCAATTTTACATTAGGAATGATAAAAACACGGTAATTTGTGTTAAATTTGATCACGGATTGATACCATTTAGAGGACCCTTGAAAATCAAGGAGTACTGATCAGCTGTTTCGTCCTAGTTTGGGACTCTTCAACAGTATGGTGATAAAATGAAGAATCGATAGAAGTTGAAATTCATGGACAAATCAATGAGCTCCCACTGACTGGATAATATACGAGCATTCCTTGTAAACGGTAGGTCTTGTGTGTGAACCCCAGTGAATGCGTACTTTTGGAGAGTTCCAAACTATGACGAAACAGCTGTCGAGTACTTCCTGGTTTTCTATGGTTCTCTAAATGACAACAATCCGTGATCAAATTTGAAACAAATCAAACCCCTACAAATTAACCTTTAAAAAGTTGATTTGTATTGCTTTGCAACCTTAGTGAGGTTATTAAACTGGTACTGTTATCACAGTAATATTATTTTATAAATGCGGAATGTTATCTACTTGTCCATACGCCAACTTTTGGAATAATAGATCATTAAATAAAGTGTTATAGAGCAAATCATTTATTTCATTCTTATGAGTTACTGCAAAATGTGAGCTGTTAATTAGTGTGCATGTATACAAAAAACTGGAGTCCTACATTTGTTGTAATGTTAAACAGAGTAAGGTATGTTGTGTGGCTATCAAAATACACCATAGTGTGTGTAAATTCTACTTCACTCATATTCTCATGCTTCTGAATGACTTAGCAACATATCTGGTTTCGTCAACCATAGCGTATTATACATGTCATGCCAAACACTTTTGTCCTCTACTACTATGGGGTTGGGGTAGGTAGTGTAACACTCCAATTTAGCAACAACTTATTTGTAGTAGATGCAGCGGGGAGTCTAGGACAGGAGAATATTGAGTAGCATATGAGTGACAACTGCGACAGCACTGAAATGCAACCATCTGTGGACTATAATTCGAACACGTTCACTCTGGTTTGTCTGAATAGCTGAGCAGTACACATCCTATATATAAACCAAATAGGCCAGTTATCTAAAAGTTAAACAATTTCAAAGAATAGTATAGCTTTGCTACAATGCAATAAAAAACTTGCAGACTTCACGATTAGGAAACTAAAGTAGTCTAAGATACACAGAAATAAATACAGATGTATCAATAATAACAAACCTGACAAACATAGGAGCCAAAATCGCTTTTTCGAATATCATTAAGAGCTAACTGAGCTTTATATAATCCAGGACGTATATGAGTTAAGAAACTTTCATATTTCTTTACACTTTTTGTCACATCCGACTCTCTAATGGGAATCAACATATCCATTGGAATAAGTTTTCCACCTTTAAGCCATGCAATTTGTGGAGCTGGTTCTGTACGAATAAAACAAGTGAGCCAAACTTTAGAGCCTTGTTCTCCAGCTGCTTTAGTATACCTTGGTAATTGAATCATTTTTGGAGGGACTAGAATTTTAAAGAAAAAGAAAAGTTAAACAAAGTCTGAAATATCAATGTAATTTGACAAAATTAAAAAATGGGTCAATAATTACCGTTAACATCTATCAGTGGGGCACTTTTAGAGCAAACTGTAACACGTACATCTAAATGATTAGGCTGACCAGTCGTTCATTTCACAAAAGTATAGACAAAATACAAAAGAAGATTGAGTAGCAGAAAAGCTGCTGTAATCAAACCAAAATAAATATCCGATAACAATAAATAAAAGTAATAATGATTTTCAAGTATTGGTTTTGTAGGGATTTTGTTTGATTGGTTGGAGGGTTTCAAAATGAGCTGACATCTGTTAAAGAACCATTGGAAAACCTGGGAGTACTGGACATCTGTACCTTTCTTGTTTGGTACTCTGTAGGACTACACACCCACTGTTGTTCGAACCAATGCTTGAAAATTAATCTGATGCTCACTAGTGACTGGCCCTACTCAGGCAGTTAACCTGGCGTTCTAGTGGGAGGCCGTGACCAGTAGGGTACAGCAGGTCGAAGATGAGGCAGCAACTCATCAAAGAAGTCATTGCGAAGTGGTCGCGCTATGTCATGAATTGACAGAAGTTAGAATTCATGGGCTTGCCATTTGATCGGGTCCCAGTGGCTTAATGGTCTACGAGCTCTCCTTGTAACCAGAAGTTCCTGGGTTCGAACCACCCTGTGGTGGGTGCGTACTGATGAAGATTCCCAGATTATGACGAAACGGTTGTTCCGTACTTCTAAGTTTTCGGCCTTCATGATTTTGAAAGACTACCGTCTATAACAGAGTGTACCGTTTCTTGTTGTCCTGGATGTCATGGTTTTAGACATTTCTCCACACTAGTTGGTATTTCTCGTAGTAGTAGGTTTTTACATTTTTTAAGCTGTTTAATAAAGGATGTCTAGTGTTACTGATAAACTCTAAAATTAAATATACTGAACTCTCTGGAAGATTTACAAATGCAAACAGTCCAACCATTCTGACAGTTTACTAACTGTATTCAGGCAAAAAGCATCAGTCTTTATTCTCTTGCTCAGAGGACTGTTTCCAAATGTCATTGATTAACTTGAGTATTCAATTTTTTTTTCAATAACAACTAGCTCTACAAATGCATCTTTTGTCTATGTGATGAAATTATTTTACATATGTTAAGATTTTATATCTTTGTGTTAAACCTTCCAATGTCCAGCTTAGATTTCTGGTTGGGCTTGTTAACAATAACAGCTTTATTCTGAAATGTGCATTTAGACACAACACAGAATTTTCAACTAGTATCATAGCAAGGTGTTTACGCCTTGTGCAGAATCTTCAAATAATATAATAATAGACAGTATGTCATCTGGAGCGATATCGCTCCATTCGAAGAATGTTTCAATACTACTCCACAAAGTTATTTCTTCATTTCCTTCGAAAAATTCCTAGTGATAGGTAGAAACTTATTTTAAATTGTGCGCAAGTACAGATTGAGACTCACTGTGATAATTAGATGATTAAAACAATATGAAAAGGAATAAATACAATGCATTTTGATGGACAGAAAATAATGTAGTTCAGTGATTTAAACAGGCTGCCATTTGACTAAATTGTTGTTATGTATAATATCAAAGGAGATATGATAAAGTCTAGATTGAGACAGGTTTTGTAGATATCTACGTTTGAATAATCACTTTGTTGGCGTTTTATTTTACCATCTAACATTACTTAGACTTGAAGTGGAAGTGGCTATATTAGGAGATGAAATAAGGAAGGAAAATTAATAAGATAAGAGTGAACAGTGGATGACTATTCTCTAGAGTGAATTGGGAACCAGTTTGGTAGGAAAATGTAATCATGAAAATAATTACCAAAACATAAATAGGTGGGAAATGTTAACTACTTTGAAGGTTGTCTACCAGCAATTCCCAGTAATAATATGCTGTTTAACCCAAGAAAATAACTGGAAATAAACTCCCTTTTTCCTATTGTGAAGAAGCAAGGATAAGATATGCGTTAGCGGAGAAGCTTTGTCAATAAACAAAAACATAGCTGGATGAAGTCAGCTTAAAAGACATAAATCTTGAAACACTTACAATGATAAAGGAGATTGAAAATTTTCTTCACTGGTTCACCTATTCCATTGTTGACTTCGCATACATATTTACCAACATCTTCTTCAGTTACTTTATATATAACAAATGTACTGGAGATGTGAAATTTATTCTGTTGATCACAATGAGCAGACATCTTAGGCTTCTCTACCTGAGACTAAGTAAGAAAAATATAATTACAAAATTAAAGTGTTCATTTTAAGTGTATCAACTAATCATTGAATATTTACGCAAAATATTACACTAACTAGTGTAAGTTAGGTTTAATGGGCTATTTATCACCTTAGAATTAACATAAGTGATCTCACAACTGAAGGCTATTAAGAATAAACTCAATGGTTCGACGATAGAATACTCATCAGCCACGTACATGGCCCGGATCTGACTCACGGATGACGTACTCCTAAACCTTGCCTAGCCAGTAGTAAGTCCACAAATGGGGGGGCGTCAGGCGTCAGGCTAAAGATGTCACCCCATAGATAGAGATAACACCACTGATAGCTACTGAAATTTGAAAGACTAAAGCTTGAAACCCCATGTTCCACTCGAAACGTAAAGCAATGCGATAAAGTAAAGACGTTTATGGTAAAGGAACCTCTCTTCAGTGGACATTATCAACATGTTTGTTTATTGAATAATTTTATTTCATTATTATAAAAACAGAAATTCAACTTTCTGTCATATTTAACGTTAAAGCAATTGATATAAAAGTAAAACGTATGTTAATACATGTGTAAATCTTGGGCACTGTCGTAGTATGTAATTCCATATTAATTTGTTCACTAGATAAATAAAGCTCCCTTTATCCTATCATGTTATCCCATCCTATAAGATGACGTAACAGTTCCAAAATCTAATACAAGAGGGTGGAGGGAGAGATTGATAATCGTAGCTTTGTTCATGGAGTCAACTGAAAATACCTGTAATAGAAATGACTCAACACCTGTCCTGGACATCTGGAAAATTCTACTACCCCTACGACGATCAGGAAAGAATAAAGAAAACTATAAAACTCAAGTTTTTGAAAGTTGTGTAGTCATAATTGATATGACTATGAACAGTAAATTGTGTTCGAAGCGTCATCCGATAAATAACACTGTTTCACTGTGTGACATATCTAGTGAACAAATTGATATGGACGTAAAAGGTTTTTTTATTGAGTAGCAGAATTTCATGAAGGTTTTGTTAACGATAGTTTCGCAGGTCTTCTACTGTCAATGTAAACGTCTTTTCAAGCAATACTCTGTCATGAGGTTTTTTTTAAGCAGCACCAGAAAAAGATTGACGACAAACTCGGTCAGCAATGAAAACACCAGAACATTCAGACAATCACCAGTTTACCTTTTGAATTTGATTGACGGATTAGGATAGAAACCAAATTATGATGACTGGTTAACAAAGTGTACAAGTTGGTTAACTAATCTGCCACTAATACTGAACATACAATCCAGTATTTACACTGTTGGTTTTATGTGTTAACTACAACTGGTCTTCTTGAAGTCTCTTCACCTAATGATTTAGCCTAGGCCTTTTTGGTTCATTTTATATATAGTGGCACTAACATTAATTCTTTTACTAATAACTCTATTTAAAAATTTCTCTGCATTTCACTGAGTGTCATTCAACCAAGTTCAAAGCCTTCTTTTATTTCAAAATTGATTTATTAGATGAGGCTGTTAATAAATGACAAGAATATGTATACCAAGGTTCTATTGAATGAATATGATCAATGTTCAACAATGTTGTTTGTTCAGTTAAACAAAATAAATGAAAAAAATAATAAATTATCAGTATCTTCATTTGACTACAAGTCAAATTAAAATAATTTAGAAGAAAAGCTCAATTACATAATGGACAGTTACATTCAAGAAGGATTTCTTTAAACTAACATGTATATATATATATATGTTTCATCTTTAGGTTTCAATAATTAGATAAAGAGAAAACAAAGTTTATCTTTACTGTCACAATTTATTTACATCATCTGAATTTCTGTGATGAAGATTGACATCAGGCCTTATTTAGCGTGTATTCACTGTCACTGAAATATTTTCTGTCAATGAAAATACATGACTTTTGAAATGGAATGCAGTTGTTTACGCTTGATTGACTTTTATTAGCTTGTTGCTTAACGTAATTAACTGTAGGGTATTAAATCAGAAACTGTTTTAAATTGGTGACAGTAAATGGAAGTTTTTATTTCGACATCTTGGTTGTTGTTTCATTTGATTCAACGGATTAAATCTAACCGATGAGGCATTTAAAAACTACATGCAGGTAGTTCAAGTTAAAAGTCAGTGGGATTAATGCGTCTCTTATATGATAAATGGTGTAGATCACAAGGTTTATGGGAATGCTAAATTCCAAACTTGATAGTTTTTTCTAATTTTTCCGACGGAGAAGAGTTCAACTGTAATTATATTAAAGTACACCAAAATATCACCTGTGATGTTACCTATTGAGTCGATCATTTTAGAATAAATAGGCACGAAATAATTCAGGGTATTATACAACCAGTAAAACCAAATTAAATTATGGCAAACATTTTCATACACCTGATTGTAAATTACTTTTATTATTATTATTATTCCCTTTAAGTTCCTGGCAGCACATTGCCATTTTACTCCGCTGTCTGAAGTCTTCTTTAGCTGGCTCTACAATTGCCTGTTTGTCACCCTCGGACGCCCAAATCATTGTTCCCATTCGGGTTCCACTCGAGGACTTGGAGCGTGATGTCATTTAATGATCTTATCAACCTGTATCCTATCCCTCTCCATTTCCTACAACAAGTTGCCGAGCGATAGGTTCCTAGTTGGTTCGTTTCCACAGTTCCATGTTGCTTATCTGTTTACTGGCCATCTGCTCTTCATTATGGAGCAGAGGCAGCTGTTGATGAAAGTTTGCAACGTGTTCAAAATGCTTTCCGTGACGCACACGCCATGTATCTGAACCAAACAGAAGCACTGATTTGACATTAGTGTTGAAAATCTGAGCCTTGTTCTTTATACTTACTGTACCAGATTTCCAAATTGATTTCACAGTAATGAATGTTTACCTTGTCCTTCCAATTCTCCTTTTGACGTCTTCATCCGTGCCGCCTGTAACTGAAACTGTGTTGACAAAGTAAGTGAAAGAAGTGACCTCGTTCAAATTTCTTCCGTTGATATTGACTGATGTTCATGCTGTTGGTTGGTTATCTTCATCACCTCCATCTTCTCCATGCTCACTTGAAGTCTTGTCCTTGGTGCTTCTTCTACCAACTTGTTGGTTTTGACCTGTAGGTCTTCGGGTTTATATCTTGCCACTAGATATAAACCATCAGCTCTGTCCAGACCGTCTAGAGTCTTCTTATGGGTTCAGCGTATTCGTGTCATCCCGTCCCCTAAAGCCTACCGCTGCATAAACTGCTCAATGCAATTCAGATACTTTTTGGATTGGTAAAAGTGGGACCAAGATGGAGGCTCAACTGAAAGCCTACATTCTTTCACTGGAGCTATAAAAGATTAATACAAATCAGACCACATTTTTTTAGTCAGTGATATTTTCGTCCACTTTAGCATGTCAGAAAACGTGTTTCAAGAGTAACTTATTTGATATATGTATAAAACAGAAAAACACCCAATATTTTAAAACGATTAATCTCTTTTATAAATTTGGATAGTTTGACTGGACACTAGTAACTAGTGTGATGTGTCTAGTCCTCTGTTTGGTGCAGACTGAGTTCTATCAGTGAAGTTTGCTCGCCATCACAGTGCACTGTGAATTGTTGATATTGGATGGTTGGAGGTAATTGACACAGGAAGCCTCGGACCTAGGTTTCGTGCTATTCGTCACTGACCAGTCAGCAAGGCCTTAGACCAACTAGCACGAAACCTAGGTCCAAGGCTTCCTGCCGATTGCTTCCAACCATCTGATGTCAACAAATTTGGATAGTGTTATTTTCCGGGTAACCTATTATTTTGAATTTAGTGTCCCAGATATCACAACCTATAGATAAAATGTTCATTAAAAGAAGAAATGCACTACAGATTGTGTTTCTCCTGTAAGATAATTTTAAGCCGGCACAACTGTTCATTTTGTTTTTTTACCAAAATACACTTACTTCATTACAGTATATTGGTTCACTTAATTGTAAGGCTCCTTCATCGACTTCATCAGGCCAACCTTTTGGTGGAAAATAACGATACCATGTAAATGCTTTGCTAGCGATAGCTGGATTTGCATTTGCTTTACATTCAAGCGTAGCAAATTCCTTGTTTATTTGTGTAATGTTCTCCTCAAGTTTTCCAAGAATACTTGCTGGATCTTTAAAGAAAATACAAATGAGAAAATAAAAAGTAAGCAGACAAAAAATAATGAAAATAAATTTTCAAGAGTTACTTTGCAGAGAATTGTTTGGTTCAAGTTTGATCACGAATTGATTTCAGTCAGGGAATCATTGAAATCCAGGGAGTACTGAACAGCCGTTTTGTCCTAGTTCGGGGCTCTTCGGCAGTACAGTGGTGGCACAGTGGTTAGGACTCTCGCCGACCATGCACATGGTCCGGGGTTCGATCCCCTGCCGGCGCACACCCGATATCTATGGTATGCCTGAATTTGGGCAACCGATATCCATGCTGAAAATTCCATACTTGTACTGAAAATACGGTGTGGAATCAAGCTGTAAATCAAAAAAAAAAACTCACTGGGGTTTGCATCCAGGACCTTCTGGTTACAATGCAAACTCGTATAACATTCAGGCAAAATAGGTCCCAATCCAATAACTAATGAATTCCAAAATCACAAACTGGCAGAAGTCGGAATGCATAGGCCATAGAGTTGAATCCCAGTGGCTAAATGGTCTATTAGCTTGCGTTTTAACCAGAAGGTCCTGGGTTCGAAACCCAGTCGGTGAGTGCTGATGATGAGTCTCACACTAGGAAGAAACGACTGCTGAGTACTCTTTGGTTTTCAATGGTTCTCTAACTGAAATCAATACGTGATCAAACTGGAAACAAATGAAAATAAGGTTCCAGTTATTCAGTGCTTATATCTCACACATGTAATTTATTATTAGATAAATGTAGCATTTTTAGTAATCCTTTAGGCACTGCTATTATGCTCATCTTTAGAGAGTGAACTGTGTTGAGTAACTCACAGGATACAAATCTCATATTCATGATGCAATACAATCATCAAATAAATCAGACGATACAATTTAGGTAAAAATTCAAACATCATTCAATCTAAATATTCATTGAAAGCAAAAATATGTACTGAAATTTTGTTGTACTGTCATTTAATGCCCTTGAGAACTTTTCTTTTAAGTCTCATTAAGGAAACAGCCCATAGCTGTTTATTATTATTACTATTATTCCCTTAGTTTTTCCAGTGGAACATTGGACTTCAACAGCACATCTCCATTTCACTCTTTTCTCTGCAGTCCTATTTGCCGACTTCACGATTGCCCATAGGCTATCATCTCCTCCTGGTGACGTCTCCTTCGTGTCATCCTCACACACGCAAATCGCTATTTTGCATTCAGTCTTCACTAGAGAGCCTGGCACGTGATGTCACTGAATGGTCTTATCAGTGTGTGCTCAATCCATCTCTGTTTTCTTCGGAATATTTATTGGATAATCGTTTCTTGGTTGATTCGTTCCCATAGTTTTTCACTGCTAATTCTTTCAGGCCATTTGATTTTCGCCTAGTTCACCAATTCCCTTGTTTCCTAAGCTCGGTAAAAGAGGGAGGTTCTGACCTGGGGGTGCCGACCCTACCCCCGAAGATCAATTCAGTCTCTACAGAAACATCGAAGCCCATAACTTAGACGTGGTTAACTGACTATCAGATGAACTTTTACTGGTTTGCGTATTTCACCTTCTGTGACATGTATGTTGATGTGCACTATCAAAATGCCTAAAACTACAGTGAAGTAGAGTTTTAGTTTCTAAATGTTAATTAGCTATTAGTTACTCAATTAATCGATATCCAATGAACCTACTAATTGAACATCAAACATGCTAGTTAGTTAGTTAGACTCTGATTGATTCACAAGGATGATATAAAAACAGAATTAAAAAATAAATCCCTTAGGAAAAATATTATTTATCACGATGCTTGCAAGTAAAAGGAAAACCCATAACATTGTAACATGCTGGTAAATATGAATTGCTGAAAACTATCATACCACGCGTGTAAGTCATTTCTGTTTTCTCTTAAACTCTTAAATAAGCCGTTTTTGCCATGCCTGGAAAAAACCCGTTGAAGAACGAAATCTATTAGAGTTCTTAATAATCGATGTATGGCTATTTATATTCTTTTCCCTTGCCTATTGTCTCAGAAAAAAATGAAATTAATCGCAAAAACTGTATCTACTGAGTATAGTGTCAGCTGTGTGTATGTGTGGCGGAAAAAGAACAGTTTTTTTCCGAAGCAGTACACAAACAAGGATTTCATTTATTTTATTTATTAATTTGAAAATTCCCATTCAGTCATAGAGAAGAAAAGGCGTTCAGCAAAGAGTTACTCTTTTCGGCGATATCATTCTCAAGCTGTACAAACCGCAAATTTATAGTAATTTTTCTTGGCAACAAAAGGAATATTTCCAAAGATGCAATTGGTAATTTTTGACAACAAATTACGTAATTTAGAAGGCGTTAATCGGTTAGAAACTAAAATGAAGTTACAAAAGTAGGTTGGGTGACGTAATCTAATTGCTAGGGTTCAATGAAAAAAATGAATGAGAGTCAAGTTAATAATCTGAGTAGAATTCACTTGAAAATGGGTGAGAGTTAAGTTGATAAGCTGAGTAGAATTCACTTAAAAAAAAAACAAACGAAAATGGAGTTAGCAACAGTCGTCATGAGGGTAGAGATTTAATAGAGGGTGGGGGTAGAAAATAATGCAATTAAGAAACAGACAAACAAAGAAGAAAGAGGTAAGACAAAATTACGTATTTGATGTTGAGATAGATCAGGACCATTGTAGATTTGGTGACTGAATAAATTTCTTTTGTATGCAGAGTTCAGGATTCAATATGTGAATTGCCATTGCTTCTGCAGTTTGAAGAAGTTTAATTCGTACTCTTTTGGCAAGGTTCCCACGTATTGTGTAGATAACTGAGAAGTTGCTTTGTGGGTTTGCTTGGTGTCCGGATTCGATTAAGTGTTCTAGGATAGAGCTGTGGCGGGGGAATCTTCTTTCTCCTTTGTAAAACCATGAAGGTAAGTGTTCGCTGATTCGTTTGGATAGCAAACGCTGGGTACGGCCGACATATTTTTTATTTTATTTATTGTTCCCTAGTGTTCCCAGTGGAACATAGGGCTTCAACAACACATCTCCACTTTCTTCTATTTTTTGCCAGCCACTTCAGCTGAATCCAAAATTTCCCAAACTCTCTCATCTCTTCCTCACACGATCTCCTCAATGTAACCCTTGAAGTGACGATCCACTTATCGCTTCTCATTTAGATTACACTCGAGGGCCTGGCGCGCGACGTCATGTGATGGTTTCATCAATGTATGTTCAATTCATCTCCACTTTCTCCTACATATTTGTTGAGCAATAGGCTCTTCATTGATTTGTTCCCACAGTTTCTTGTTATTAATTCCTTCTAGCCATTTGATCTTCAGCATGGAGCCAGCGAAGACAGGCATCTGTTGATGAAAGTCTGCAACCTGTTGGAAATCCTTCTCGTGAAGTGCTGGCCAAGTTTCTGACCAATATAGAAGTATTGACTGATTTCACATGTGTTGAAAATCCGATTCTGATTGGTTTTCATATCTTCATCTGTGGTTGGTTATCACCTCCGTCTTCTCTGTGTTCACCTGAAGTCGTGTCTTCGCTGCCTGCCAGCCTTTTTAGCCAGTTTGTTAGTTTTCACCTGTAAGTCTTCGAGTTTGTGTAACATTAGACATATGTCATTTGCGAAATCCAGATCTTCTACAGTCTTCTTATCGGTGGTCTGGCGTATTCCTGTCTCCTCAATTCCTGTTCACAGTCTGATACATAATCCTTTGCACCTAAATCGGGAATATCATTGGTGATAATAGTAAGCCAGAGTTGTCTTACTCTTGCATTCACTTCAAACGCCTCCCTGTGTTTTCCTTTGTGGATCACCTGATATGTTGCATTGTCATACAGCTAGCTGTTGAATGAGGGTGATGAAGACCCGCCGTTTCCAATTTACTTCTCGGTCAACGCTGTCTGTAGAAGGCCTTTTCGATGTGAATGAACCTGCTGACGTAAAGACTTGACTGCCGTTCTAAGCTTTGCTCTGTGATGACGATGCGTAGAGTTGCAGTTTGATCAGCATATTATTTGCCTTTCATGCATCCCACTTGTTCTGGTTGGTGGGGCGGAGTTGTGTATCCAGTGCATCCTTTATTCTGTCCAGGATGATGCGACTTAGTATTTTACAAACAAGGATTAGCATTAAATATATACACTGTCTAGTAGTCATATATCATGTTAATCCAACTTGAAATAACTCGAAATAAATTTACTTTTTAAATTTAAATTACAAATATATAAAAGCAACCATAGTGATGCAGTAGAAAAAAATGAATTGAGTTCTTTAGTTGTTCAGTGAAACTTTTACTAGGACAGTACAAAGAAACTGACACCACCCTCTTCACTCACAACTCTTCCCTTGCATCTCATCAGTTAAAACCAGAAGCCTATATAGAAAACTATATGCTCACACCAGCAAGTACAAAAACTCAACCATACCCTACTTAGCTCGTGTTCTGTGCGATAAAGAAAGCATTAGGCGTGACACATATAATTCATTAAATAGTCAGTAGAACAACTGGACCTCGTCTTTCCAACTCATATCATTTATAGGTATAACATTTTCTTTCTTTCTTTTCCGTTTCTCTCTCTTTTTCTTTTCTTTTTTCCGTTATGTTCTGCTTTGTTTCTTTCTTTCGCTTACACCAGTAAATATGACAGCACCTACTTTTCTAACACCTTCAAACACTGTTCAACTTTGGCTTTGCTACCGACATGCCAATATGTTTTTGTCATAATGAACTGAGATTTCCTTAGTCTATGTAGAATTTTATTTATTGATAATGTACTAACTGGATGCAATACTGTAGTAAAAATGCTGAGAATTCCATTCTGTATCACAAGTATTGTTTTGGAATAAAACAAATTATTATTATCAAGTATGAAGCGTTTGAAAAATTTGAAATATTGCATATGACGAAACTTTCACATTAAATGCATTTTCATGGATGATTTTGTCACGAGTGTAGTAGGGTTGTGAGTGCGAACTTGTGAAACGTCCTGAAATAGGAAGAAGCAACTAGCAGTTCAAATGCTTCCCGGTTTACAATGGTTCTTTAAATCACAACGGTTTGTGATATAATATACCTTGAAAGCAATCAAACCTCTAAAGCCTGAGACGTTAAAAGACATTTAGACTAAAATCAGTTCAAAGAGTTTCTGTTTGAATAGAATTCATAAAAAGAGTCTTCCAGTGAGTTTGTAATTCTGAACACATGATGCTTTTCAGCTTAAATAATTGACTGTTTCCTGAATTTTTCTTTCACTTGGAATTAATTGAACACTTCATCTGTCAAATGGATCACATATTTCACCCTTATAATTCTCTAAAATGAGTGAATAATACTGTTTCACTGTTGAAAATTGATAAATGAACAAACCAACGTGCTCAAATCTCACAACTATATGAACTACAGTTTATTTTCTCAACAGAAGGTAGGTAAACGGAATGTCATAACCAATTCATATTGTAGCTAATATGAATTAACTGAGTTTATTCTTTGATTATTTCTGAATTTCTCCATCATTTAGGCGAAATCATTTAACAATAAAGTTTGACGTATATTTCAACTACTTGATTGTAAGAATTGATTTTATCAGTAATTCAGTTCAAATTCCCTACATTAGACTGTGACATCTGTAAGTAAAACATTGAGCATATGCAAGGTTTTTATGGTCTGTGGAATGAATTCAGACTGGAGTATTTAGAGTTAATTATACAAAATGTCTTTCAATAAAAGAAAATTGTCATTTCAAAATAAATACGACAGTTACATGTATCAGACTCTTTGCTAACAGTCTGTAAATTTGTCATTTCTCAGTAAGGGGAAAACTTTGTGCTGTTGGGGAAGTATTATTGTTTAGTCAGCTGCATTAGATCTCGTCACTGAATGTATCTAGTACCTTAAAAACTTCACCAACACCACTAAATTCTCTGGTAATTGGAATAGGCTAACCTTGTCTTTCTAGTGGATTGTATTCATATTAAATAATTTTTTTAGGCCACACACAAGACTGGTAATATATTTATCACAAATACAGACAAATTTTTATTTGAAAATTGAGGAAAACAATTACTTTCACAGATGCTGGGAAAAAAACTTATCAAAACAACTAACTCCTATTGTTTACATTAAAATACTTACAGGTGACATTAAGAAAAAATGTGTTTTTTGATTCATGTTGACCGTTTGAAGCTAGGACTGTATAATTCCCCATATTGTTTCTGTTAATCTTGTACAATGAAAGCAATTCGCCAACAGATCCAGCCGCATAAACACCTTGTAATGATCCCGTCTCTTTAGGTTCAAAGGGAAGCCGTTCTTCATGACGAAACCATGAAACAGATGTGACAGGTGGATTTGCATACAGTCCAAAATCTAGACGTGTTGTTTCACCTGAATTATTTAAAACAAATTTATAAAGTAGATTAGAAAATACGGAAATTTAAATAGGTTAATACAAAACATGGAAAAACTATCCCTCGGCAATCCGGAACCTTTAAATACAAACAAAAGAATACCGACTTATTGCTTCCCAAATAACTATGTTGAATGGCAAATGCCATTAAGAGAAGATCGCTTCATTTCGAGTTTTCGTTTTTCCAAATGATTTTTTTCACAACTATAGAAGATGAAAGTTGGTCGTACAGCCTAAAGGGTAACAGCCAGAACTTCTTCAATGATTTTAAAATGTTTCACTGTGACTGATGCAATTTCAGAAGAAAGCTATCAGCTTTACTGTTCATGCGACATCTTAAACCACTCATACTTCTACTTGATTCAGTGGTAGAATTGATTTTGTCCGGGATATTTGCATAGGAAGAGTGACGTTTACATTACAGTCAGGTGAAAAATAGCTAGATAAAGCTTAATAGTCCATAGTTGATATGTTCAGCAGATACAGTTAGATTTCTTAATACAACCTTGTCAAGATGAAAACAGATTCCTCTACATTATACAGCCTTCAGTATTTCTACTAAGAGAAACAAGACTTTTGGGGATATATTTATGTGTCGGAGTAAAATTGTGGGGGGTACAAGCTATGAACTACATTTAAGGGAAGCGAATAGCAGTGAGTATGTTTTTACTTTAATTTAAGGCCAAATACCTAAGGTGCAACAGGTGTAACAAAACCCGTAATCTAAATATCATTCTCCAGCTCATTAATGGCTACTGTGTGGACTTCCTGAAGATGTACGGAGAAGCTGTCACCAATAAGGTGCACTATGTCAAGGTGAAGTGGATTCTCATCAAAGTCACATGTTGAGGGTAGCAACTTGTAAGAGTTAGGCTTGGCTTAACTTAGACCTAAAATAATCACTCTTACAAAACTTCTTCACCGCTTTATGACCTTAGTTGTACTCTGCCTAATGTGCAAATACTAACGAACGGAATCAAGGTAAAAAGATTGAAATGGCAATGACTGAAACAGAGTTATATTTACACAAAAGAGATATGAAATTTGATAAAAATAAGAGGTTATACACTTTTCTGCAGTCCTGACTGTGGTAGGCTTGGAGAGTGCGCTGAATGAAAGCAAGTAATAATGGTGAGTGAGTTCAAACAAAAGTTCAAAGGTTCAATGTACACTACACACTCTTTCACGAAGTGACAACGTAAGTCTTCATAGGTAGCCAAATTCTCGCTTAAGTGGCCAAATGGTTAACAACTATGGTCTCGTAATCTGAAGGTCTTGGGTTTAATCCCTGTTAGGGTCGTAGGTGCTCACCTCTAAAGAGTTCCAATCTAGGACGAGAAGGCCATCCAGTGCTCTCTGGTTTTCAATGGTCTCTAACTGATGCTGGTTCATGACGAAATCTACCTTTATTTATTTTCTCTGAGGTGCAAATTTTTGAATAACATTCTAATTCAGTAAATTGCAAGTAAATGGATCACATTTATTCAGATCAAACTTAAACTAATCACAGATTCCCTAGTAGAAAAAAGTGAAGTTAAAAATCTTGGGTCACAATCAAATTCAGATAGGTGACTTCTTACTTACTGGTTAGTCACTGTACTAACATACACTATGTAATCTAGTGGTAGTACATTTCAATTTTGTGATTTTGGCTTTATTTATATTGTTTAGATGATATAATTCGGATGATTTACTCTTAACGTTGAACTGCTACAGAACAATGAAAATAAAAGACTCAAAACGTCAGATCTTATTTTCAGTTCCAATTCATTTGTTATAGTGTTTAGGCAGCCAATAATCTTTACTACGTTTTCATTCTTTAATGATGTCAGAATATTAGTCTGTCAGAGATAACCATGTGTTGTTATTTATAATTCCCGGTTTTTACTTTTCATTCATGAGTGGTTGTTATGTAAACAAAATACCTTTATAAACTCAAACTACAGCTATTATGTGACGTATCATTCACCACAATAGCGTTAAATATTATAAATGATGATATATAACTTTGCCTCTGGATGAAGTACGTAGGCATTCCGCCAGAAATATAAGTAACATCTCAAGTACTTTAACTGCAAGATGACTGCAAGCAGAAAGTTTAAAGTTAGACAAGTTTTCCGACGGATTAAGTCATATTTGTGTAACACAAAATTACATCACATTACTAAGTCATTTCATTTAGTTTATTGGTTAAACAGCTAAATTTATCAAAAGGCCTAAACTAAGTTTAGGAGAATAGGAATGATATCCATTGCAACGTTGTGATCGTTTCTTCTCATTGCAATTACGTGAATTTCTCCCTGATGACATTCCTAATTGTCGGGGACTGGATTATGCATCAGACTGTGCAAAGGGAGTAAGAAGGCAGAAATACGTTGAACAGATTAGAAGACTCTTGAAGATCTGGATTTCGAGGACGATTTATGTCTAATGTCACATAAATTCGAAGACTTACAGGAGAAAATCAACAAGTTGGTGGAAGAAGCACCAAGGGCAAGACTTCAAGTGAGTATGGAGAAGATGGAGGTGATGAAGATAACCAACCAACAACATTGAACATCAGCCATTACTAAGGGAAGAAATTTGAACGACGTCACTTATTTCACTTATCTAGTCAGCATCGTTTCAATTACTGGTGGTGGCACAGATGAGGATGTCAAAGCCAAACGGGATAGAATAAGCAAGACAGACTGTGAAATCAGTGTGGAAACCTGCTACAATTAGGATTTTCAACACCAATGTTAAGTCAGTTCTTCTATGTGGATGAGGAACCTGCCACATCACGGGAAGCATTTGCAAAAGGTTGTAGACTTTCAACAGCTGCTTTCTCTGGGTGGATACTGAAGACCAGATAGTGGTATGCAGGTCATACGATGAGAACATGAGAGTCTGTCGCAAGTCGTGGAGTCAACTAAGAAAGACTGCAGAGGACAGAATGGAATGGAGACGTGCTGCTGAAGTTGTATGCTCCACTTGGATCGTACGGGAATAACAATTAAACGTCAAGTACGATTTAATGTTATTTATCAGTCCAACTCATATACGTGATCAGATTAAATTGTACACGCCTTCACTAACTCTATACCTCAAATTGGTAGAACTTAGAAATCACAGACCAGCAAGATTTTACCCAGTTCTTGAAAAACAACATATATGTTTCCAGGATTTCATCATGAGCTGACATCAGTTAGAGAACCACTGGAAAACCTGGGAGTACTGGACAGCTGTTTCGTCCTTCATCAGTATGCGCCCACTGGGGTTCGAACCCAGGACCTTCTGATTACAATGCTAGCAAGCTCGATACCATAGCACTGATCCAGTCAGATTCCATCACGAAGACATTGGCTAGCGGTTGCGCTATATTGTGAATTGGCAATAGTTAGAATTCATGGGCCATTGGATCGAGTCCCAGTGGCTTAATGGTATACGAGCTCGCTAGCATTGTAACCAGAAGGTCCTGGGTTCGAACCCCAGTGGGTGCATACTGCTGAAGAGTCCGAAACTAGGACGAAACAGCTGTACAGTACTCCCAGGTTTCCCAATGGTTCTCTAACCAATGTCAGCTCATCATGAAATCCTGTAACCAATCAAATCCCTACAAACCAATACTTGAATAACATATATGTTTATTTTCATGATAAACCTTCGTTCATCATGAGAATAAAGACAAACCCTTTTTGAAGAGTATCAAAGTGGATCGTAGAATCTAGTTATCCTTAAATTTCATGACAGAATCTAACCAGACACTCTGAAAAATTTAATGTCACTAAAACGAAGATCGGAGATAGTGTACATGCGGTTTATGTACTCACGTATATGTACTCCATCATAATTTTTTGATTTATTATGATTGCTTCTTCCTAGTTTGGATATATTATTCAGCTGTTTAATGGGTGGAAAGCAAATGAAGCGATAAAATGACGATTGTATTGCTTAGTATATAATTAACGCTATGCTACATATAATTTGTCTAATTTAAACTACAGTTTATATATGATAGTCATATATCAAACATGAATTATTAATCCATAGTCTTTATAAGTTGAGTCAATAGCCTCGTGTCTTCTTTTTTGTTTTGTTTTCCGGAACAGAATTAAATATATATATTATGCTTCACTTTTGTCTAAGTGAACTTAGGAGAGTTAATCTCACTCATCGATTGGCGTAATCATCATTGTTTATTCTGAATAACAAACACTAAGGAAAGACAATATGCTTTACACGGGATATTTAGAATACACAGATGAATACCTTTAAGACAAATATTATTATTATTATTATCATTATCATGATTATTTTTATTATTGTTTTCACAGTTTTCTTTCTTAGGGCACTTTATATAAGGCTGAATGAATTGAAAAATAGTTCAGTGTTAGTATTTAAGATATTAATAATTATAATAATTGCTTGCTTGCAAACTTAGTTAACCTGATGATAAATAAGTCAAAAGGAAACAAAATATACAGAGTTTATTCGAGTGAATCAAAAGTCATTCAGCTTTCAAAGACACCTTCAGCTTAGGGGATAGGTGAAATCGATACAAGGAAATATAAACCTATTATTGAATTGTAGGTAGGGTAAATAACAGAATTCATTGAGGGGACTTTTTTTTCAGAAACTGCGTATACTTATTTCACTTCACGAATTTGAATAAATCAAGAACAACGGTTAGTGAAGAATAAGATGGTTATTATTATTATTTATCATTGGGTTCAGAGTGGAACATAGAGCTTCAACAACACATCTCCATTTTCTTCTGTTTTCTGCTGTCCTCTTCAGCTGGGTTCACGATTGACCATGATATCTCATCTCCTCCTTGCCATACGATCTCCTCATGTCCCTCGATGTAACGACTCAGTCGTCGAGCGATGTCATGTGACGCTCTCCTCAGTGTATGCCCTGACCATCTTCATTTTCTCCTACATATTTGTTGAACGATCGGATCTTAGTTGGTTTGTTCCCAGCCAGAGTTTCTTGT